GGGGGGGGGGAGGGAAGTAGAGAATTAATGGCAGCTCAGCATATTGAAGCTTTACCTTCCATGTTTTATTCAGATGAAAGAGGCATGCAGGACTACCCATGCCTTTTTGATTAGATGCATGCAGCAGACATTAGGTCCCCTTCAAAGATCCTTGGGCCGTATGGAGCCAGGAGCAGCTCTGCATTGTCATCGGAAAAAAAAAAAATATCAAACTCTTCTTCTCGGAGCCAGGCTTCTTCCCCCAGCTGCCCCCTCCCATATTTGTATATATTTCAAGAGGAGAGTCGGGCTTAGTTTGTTCATAAACTGCAGTTCCTGGGCGGACCCCACACACAGCTGGGCTTTAGCGGCTGGATCCGCCTTCCCGGCAGCCTAGCCGGGAGCCTCGCAAACTGGGGGCTCCGGGCTTGACAGCAGAAACGCAGGAGACTGGATTCACCGAGGGAAGATGAATTGGTCAACACCGTGAAGCCGGGCTTCTGGTCGCTGGCGGGATCCAGAAAATGGGTTACTGGAGGAGACCGGGTCTGCTTTCATTACTGCTGCTCTCCTTCTGTGAGTAGAAAAATGTTTCTGGTTAGACACCGCTAAGCAACATACTCCGAGAGGTCGTTTATTTTTCCTTCCTCCAGCAAAATAGCTAATCTTTGATTTCTCCCCTGACAGCAATTAGCTGGAGGATTGGAAATAGCTGAGAATTTAGTAGAATACACCGCTACAACTGCATCAGCTGTGTATTTCTCTTACGGCAAAGCGCGAGCGATTGCCTTGGTGGAAAGCGCTGCGTGCTCGCTTGGAGCAGCTCGCAGATGTCAGTGTTTACAGTGCAAAAATATATATAGGTCAGCATTACTTGTTGGAAGTTTTTATTTTATTGAGGGAGATTAAAAGCAACTGAAGTGCACTGCTGAACGATCTGGCTTCGACAGTGTCCAGATGTGATGAAGTTTGCGGCTTAGAACTTTTATCAGCCCCGGTTTATGTGCAGAATTAATCGAACTATTAAAGAAGGAAAGAAGTGGGGAGAGGGGGAGGAGAAGTGTCTTTGCAACAACATCTGGTTATTCAGCAAACCTTCCCAGCACTTACGTAAAGATTTCTTTGTAATAAGTGCCCTGTTTAGGTTTTGATAGCACTTCTTCAATACTGTAGATAAAACCCTCCAGCAGCACTTGAAAATATGCCCATCCATGGTTTAACTTCTCTTGTTTATGTCTTGATGGCTGTTTCATAACAGGGAATAGATTTGTATATAAGTGAGTGTTATATACACATCTCCTAAGTATGTGTGTGTTTCTTTCTGTATATACAGTGCCTATGTATGTGTATACACACATATATCCCTATATAGTATATATTTATGTATTTGCACAGACAATGGCACTTTTTACAGTGCACTCTTACAAAAACAGACCCATTCCCCTCACTATAGAAATTTTGATGCAACTAAAATTGCTTTTTGCTCAAAGCGATGAAGTAGGAGGATTATAATTCCAGTATTTTTACATCCAAATGAAAGAACACGGGGCAGGGATCTGTATCTGCATTCACTTTACATGGGTCCCCCTATCTACAGGAGCAGGGAATGAAAGAATATGATCAGTCAGTAATTTGGGTGTAGGCAAATACAAGCCTTGGTGCAACTGTCGAAGCACAGAAGACCCAGGGTCTGGTTTGGCTGATTTTTTCAAAAAGTTGTGGAGGTATATAGTATTCGTTATTGTAGATAATACCCTAAAGTGTGGTTTGAAATGTAGGATGCTATAGCAATAACATCCTGCTAAATTAATCACATTTGGAACAGAACTGAAGGAATTACTACAAGGTAATATTTAAAGCACAGTCTTGGGTTGGTTTTGGTAAGAAAGAAGACCACTAATTATCCTTCAGAAATACCTAATTTTGGAGTTATTTAACTTATGGTTTCCTTTTTCTGAAAGTCAAGGTTTTAATCTGAAGGAAGCCAAACCAAAACATATCATGATTACTAAGTTCATCTGAAAGGTTACGTGAGTGATATGATGACAAAATTTGCCTCTGTATGGGGAAAAAAAATAAGCCAAGGCTTGCTCTCTGTGATTCAGCTCAACAGTGATATATTTTCTGGGGCTGCATCCGATTCCCTTGCATATAGTGTTAAGATCAACCCTACAGTCATTCTGAGACAATAAAAGTACCCTGGGAGTCCACTTCACATTGACGTTAAGAGAGAAAGGAACAGCAAGTTCCCCAAATTGACAGAAAATACACATTCAGCTGTTCTTCAAGCCACAAATCCCACCATTCATCCAGCCTCTCTTTAAAAAGTGACAGTGCTAGCCTGGTGACAGCAGCAAAGTCACTCCTCTTAGCACAGAGATTTAAGACTTGCCACAGAGAGCACGGTCTGAACTGCATCTCAGGTATCCAGAATAACTCCAGCTGAGCATCTTTAGGGAATTTCCTGCTCTCTCTACAAGTTTACACTGGGGCAGCACAGACCCCAGTTTATGCTCCACACTGCCTGTCCCTATCCCTTTAATCACGAACAGCACATCTGACCGCTTTTGTGCATACATGATGAAAAACTGGATGATCTTTAAGGTCCCTCCCAACACAAACCATTCTATGATTCTATGAAAAAAGGACTGTAGTCTGACAGACCACTGAAATTTCAGCTACTGGATTTCCCTAATTCTCCCTGGCCAGCTATAGCAAAATACCTACCCTTAAACTTCTCCCCAGTGGCAGTGGCTGCTGGAGGGCAGCATTTTTACACAGCCTTCTCAGCAGAAGGTGCTAACAGAAACTCCCATGCAGAGGAATTGGAAATCCTTCCAGGGCAGAGAGCTGGCACCGTTCTGGATTTACCTAGCCCAGGACAAAAAATGCAATGATCATTCAGGATTGGAAAACTTGTCTTACAGTGGGGCAGGGGGCTGAAGGCTTTCAATGTCTTTCGTTTGGTCAGGAGAGAGCTGGGAGGTGAGCTAGTCATCCTCTATAACCAGGTCCCAGGGAGATGTTTTCTGGCAGAGGGCTTCCTCTTCTATGGGACAGAGGAAAAGCAAGATTTACACACTGGAAGCTGAAACCAGACACTTTTGTATTAGAGCATAACACAGTAAAGTTGTTCCAGCAGGTAATTACTCAGGCTCAGGATGTGGTGGATTTTTGTTGCTCAAAGCCTTCAAGACTGCAAGGCTATCTGCTCAGTAGACTATAACCCATTCAGCAGTTACGGACTTCATATTGGGATTACTGCATTGTGCACATGGAAACACTCTGGCCTTAAAGTTAATAATTAGTTTTCCTGCCCTGTTTTGCATCGGAATCAGCAAAGCCTCCCTCATGCTGTGTCTGTCAGGAATAGGGCTCAGGTCAGACCATGCAAACATGGGGCTGAGCAAAATCTCATCTCATGAAGAGGAGAGAACAGCACCACAACTCTCTGAGCTGTTGAGACAACTTCAAGAATGTGAGCTAAGTGTCGCTGGTGTGACGACAGCTCTCAGGGCATGAAGAGCCCCAGGAGCCCAGCAGAGTGCCTTTGAGCATCCAACCTCCAAAAGAGCACATGAAACTCAAAATCTGCCAGGGCATATAGCACTTACCAAGGGAGAGCTGTATCCCATTGGATCTGCTGAAGCTCCAAAGAAAGAGAAAGAGGTTTTGTGAAATGAGGGAAGGTTGCAGGTTTGCTTCCCCATAACTTGGTCTCCCATTAAAATTCTGGCCCACTAAAATACCCTGACATTTTTTGCTGTGAGTCTCCTGAGCTTCCTTTGCTACAGTCCCTCAAGGCACTTTGATGGCTCTGCAGATAGATCATTCGAGGGGGTATCACTTGGTAGACGGTGGCTCTCTGAAACCACATGCTCTTTCCTGCTTGCACAAACCAGCCCCTGTTCCCCCAGTGAGCCTCTTCAGCTAAATATATAAAGCGTATATAATTCATAAATCATGACAGGGAGCTCCGGGGCTGTCAGAAAAACATCTCTGGCTTTTGATCTGCTCAAGAAATCTCTGACCTATCCCAGGCTCCTCAGGCAGCTTGTTCAAGAAGTCAGCCTCTTATTTCTAAGGTCACCAGAGCTAAAACCAGGGGTCGTACTGCCACCAAAATGCCAGCCCACGCCTCGGACAGCAGAGCCATTGGGATTGCACCCCAACACCAATGCACACACAATTCAGAAACATGGGGTGAAACCTGAGCTGGTGAGAGGATGAGGGAAGGAAGAGGATGAAGGAAGAGTCACCCTGCATTTCTCAGCAAATACATCTATTTGCAGAAAGGGACTTTGCAGGAGCTGAGCCGGAGCAGAGGCGTGCACCTCTTTTCCCAGGCTACACAGAACATGAAGGTGGGTGCTGCCCGCCCCAGGACACATGGCTGCAGAGTCGGTTATGACAATCCTTCTCAAGTACCAACATAGTTTGCTTTGGTGTTGTTTTAAGACAGCCAAAACACCAAGGAATAAATTATCACCCTCAAAACAAACCAAGAGGGGTGCAAGGGCACCACATTGGCTGGGTGTAGGTAGCTGGGTTGGGGGCTGGTGCAGAATCCCACTGCCTGAAGGAGAAACTTGTGCATCCTACCATGAGGCTAAATAAGAACAGAGTTGCAAGAAATTCTCCACTTAGGAAATAAAAGAAAAAGCACAAGAAAAACCCTGACAATGCAAAACCGGCGTCTTCTGCAGTGCTGCAAGTGGCATGAGACTCAGCAAAGAAAGTGATGGATTAGTTTGAATTCACATTTATACTCCGAATCTGATACTACAGTTTCAGCCCTTGGTGTAAGTTAGACTAACTGGGGCTAAGGAAACTGGCAGTGTACAGCTATGTCCAATTCATGAAAGTGGGCATTTCCTCACCCCTTGCATCTCCAGCTTTGCTGACTTGAAACAGGCCAGTCATCATTAAAGCTGCTCAAATCTGTACTTTAGCAGGGGGCTTTGTGGAAGAAAGTCCTTTTTGAAATATAATTCCATGGAATTTGAAATTAAACATACTGTTTTCTAAAAACAAAAAAAAAAAAAGCTGTTTTTTACTGCATTTTTAGTGGTGTTATCACTATTGAATGATGGTCACAAAGACATTTTTGTGCACTAGTAATAAAAAAGTTCAGCCAGCTGCAATCATGATACTTGTTACTCCCATTAGAGATGGAGTCCTGAACAGATGCATCCCACATATTCACTGAATATGCAGAGAGCAAACATTGGCATTAAAAACAGGTGACTGGGGGCTTTTATTCTGAGAAAGTATTAAACTCTATTGCCTGTCCTCCACAGCTTTATGTTGTCCCATGTTTTGCTCTGTCGAGTTTATTTCCTCAGGACATTACTATCCTCTCCCCTTAGTGATAACTCTTTGTAATAACATTTGCTTTCAGCTGGGCTTCACAGTGTTGCAACTTGCCATAAACTAATGAACTCTCCCATAGATTGTCATGTTTTCAAGGAAGCGCAACATCTGATCTTTTTATTAAAAAAAAAAAAAACAGTCCCACCAAGGAGACAAAATCAGCAGCTCCCACACACTTTGCTCTTTTCACATCCAGTGTTTAG